TTTCCAGATTTCTTTTTTATAACAAAGATGGGCGTATTCCAAGGAGAGGTGGATTCCTTGAGGTGGCCAGACTTTAGCTGTTCTTTTATTAGCTGGTGGGCAGCATCCAGTTTCTCTTTTGGAAGGGGCCACTGAGGTACCCACACAGGCTGATCTCTTTTCCATTTAATAGGAATTTGCTCAGTGGCCCCTAGGAAAAACCCAGGCCTTGGCGACCAATGTTGCCTTGGGCAGAAATAGGAAGCCTACGACCATCTTCCCTGAGGCCTAATCCTTTACCAGGCCTATAGCCCATCTTACTCATTATCTTTTTGCTTTGTGGGCTATAACAGTTATCTGTGGTTAATGTAATTCCCATTTGTTTCATCACATCTTGCCCCCAAAGAGAAATGGGGATACTTAAGACAAAGGGCTGAAAAAATTCCTGAATGTCTTTCCTCATCTTTCCATGTCAAAAAGCTTGCACTGCATTCGGGATCTTGGGCATAGCCTAAGCCTCTTAAGACTTGAGTGGAATGCTGAACGGGCCACGCCTTCGGCCAATCTGCGTTTTTAATGATACTGCGATTGGCTCCTGAGTCTAATAGACCCCATAGGGGCATTCCTTGGACAATCAATTTATATAGAGGCCGCTTATTCAAATCCATCGTCAGCCAGGCCCCAGGATTACTGGTGGAACCAAATCCTTCTTGTCCCCTTAATAAGCCTTTAGAAGGATATTGGGAGTGACAACTGGGAAGAATCAAGAGCTGGGCGATACGATCGCCGGGGCTGATGGCCGAAATCCCCTTAGGAGAAGAGACCATGATCTTAACTTCTCCTTCATAATCTGAATCAATCACTCCTGGATGAATTACCAGGCCCTTTAGGGTTGCAGAACTGCATCCTAGCAAAAACCCACTGTATCTTTGGGTAGGGGCCCACGGAAATTGGAACTAATAGTTTGGACCCCCATCTCGAGTTAATATGAGTCTAGCAGTGGCACAGATGTCCAATCATGTGCTTCCTGTGGTTGCTCTTTGGGGGAATCCCTCATCCGGGGGTGACGAGGGATCTGCTGCATGATGTGCCATTGAGTGGGAGTCTGCTGCATTGCCCCATATATTTGAGGGCCCTGAGACAAAGGGCCCCATTGCCCGTTTTTTGGCCTTGCTCCCTGCTGGCCGGGGCCCAAAGACTTGCCATTAACGTCCCACTTAGATTGGCATTCGCCTGCCCAGTGGTTACCCTTCTGACTTCGTGGGCACAGATTTGGGCAACGCATGGGGCCTTGTGAGGAATGCAGGGGGCCAGCAGCCCTACTGGCCAAGGGACGATTGGGGAAATCCCTTTTAAAGTGCCCCTGCTGGCCACAGGTGAAGCAGCCTCCTCGTATTCCCTTATGTGGCCCAGATTGGCCTGGCTTTCCTTTTAACCCTGCCACAATGGCAGCAGCTAAAGC